AAAAAAAAAAGAACACCTTACCTCTCCAAAAGCAACAGATGCTGAATTTAACGGCAGCTTTACAGTCGACACCGTCGGCACCTTAAAAATATCATACCCTTCGTACTTTTGTTCTCTAGGCTTCTGCGGGCGAGGAATAATAAAAAATATAAGAATAGATAGAGATGCAATTAATCCCACAATAATTAGTATTGCAATTAAATTCCGCCGCGTTCTGGAATTGCAAGAAATTCAAAACTAATAGAATAAAGTATACAAATATAAATTTGTATATAAAATTAATACTTATTCGCTCAATTAAATCCATTTTTTTGAAATCTTTTTTCGCGTTCCACCCAGCAAAAAAACCTCGACATTTATTATTAGGGTTATATTTAGTAAAGTATTCGTTGCAACGATCTAACTACACGAAAACTTTTGAAACACAAGAACACCCTCTCTTTACAAATATAAATTCCAAAACAACGTTGGAAACAACAACGCACTTAAAAAATCACTCACCTCTCAGAAATAACGGATTTTTTCAACCTGACTTCAGCGGCAATACATGGATCAGACTCGCCATCATTCGCTACAGTATCATTGTTCCGATACTCTCTCATATCAATATTAAAATAATGCCAGTTTATTATCTGGCTCAATGGCGTAGAGAAGAGTTAAGTTCACCGTTAAATCTTGATCAGGTTCGGTCAGAAACAATCAACCAGAAAAAACTTAATTTTATTTCTCCCGTTCAACACTTGAGTTCGCAGTAAGATTTATTTGAGCATCTACAATCTAGCTATTTAAGTAAACACAATTGAAAATACTTTCTCTTTCTAAAATGAAGCGACAGTGAAATATAAATAGATAGGAAATGTCAGCGTATGACAAAGACACAGTCTGCTCAAATTGGTACCTTTTAGAGCTTGACAATCTAAAGGAGTCTGGTTGAAGAAGCTTCATCACTTCGTTCTTGACTATACTTAATGTACACTTTGCAGTACACTTACACATGTGAAGTGGTCATGGTACTTTTCTCGAAGATGGTTTCCCTTTTTCCTTTGCTTTGAATTTTGCAATTTTTTAACACACAATTTCTTAGAGAGCGAGTGATTTTTGGAAACTGAAAAAAATCCTTTCTCTAATATTTTATCTTAGATTTATGTTGTGTGTACACTCGCCGACTGTAAAAGTCATATAGAAGACACTTTCAGCAGGCGCTAAAATCAAAATTCTATCCAGTAATTTTATGGTTGCCAAGCGCGTACTATATTTTGTCGATGACAAGCCGAATTTTGAGGTTTTTTTCTAGAATTTTTGAAATTAATCTTTC